ATGTAACATAAATACTAAAAGACTTAAATGATCTAAAACAACATAAATTTGTAGCAACATCAACTTAGCTATATAAATAAGAATCTCATATCCAATCTACTTATAAATGGATATCTAGAATCATTTAATGATGTCTATGGAATCTTGTTTACTTGGTAAAGAAACTTGAATCCTCTTTTAGTTGAAAGGGAGAAAGAGCTACTAATTAATAAAGGCCCTACTCATAGAGATGTATGTGAGCCCATGTTCAGCCAAGCAAGAGGAGAACATGCTTATCACATAACTTTTAATAATAGTAGATCATATTTTGGTTATAAGACATAAGTACAAAGTGTTTGAAAGGTTCAAAAGTTTAGACTTAAAAGTTAAGTGACGAACTAGTAAAAGTGTTAAGGCATTTGGATTGTTCAATTAGATCGAGGTGATAAATACTTGAATGTTAAAATTTTAATCACCTAAAAGAGAATGAGATTCTCTATGGATGTCACATATAAGACATGATCGATCCATAATGTGTCAAATCAATATCCTCGTTTTATTTTGGGATAAATACTCTTTACTATAACTTTTACATTGAATTGGGTTCTAGTTAAATCTATTTAAATTAACCTCATATAAGATATAGAAATGAAAGAAAATGAATTCATCTTTCCTTAAGATTTGAGGCTATAAAGTATATGTCAAAAGGTTTGACAAAGACAAACTAAAGCCTAAAATTAATAAAGTGCTGATTTATGAGAAATCCAAAACAAACAAAAGGATGTCAATGTCTTATCACTAGAACAAAGTGTTGTTCATGACTATGTGTGCTATATTCCTTGGGAAGGAATATATTGATGCTAGAAATAGTGAGAGTAAATTTGAACTCAATAAGATTTGAGTCGACTCACAAATTGACACTTTACTAGAGGAACCCTAAGTAGAATGGTTACAAAGTGTTGTAACTATCCCACAAACAAAAACTTCTTAAGTTTAAAAACTTTTTCAAAAGATAAAAGAATATGTTCTTCTTATCTCAACACATGGTGGTGTCGACCCTAAAAGGGATAACACGACCAACACTTATGAAATGAAAATATTAGAATGTTTAGATGACACACCCCGATGGTTCTCAAGAATATACAAATAAGATTTGCAAAATGCAAAGCTCCATTTATGGACTTAAGCATGCCACTAGGAATAAGAGTCGAAGCTTTAATGAAATAATTAAAGAGTTTGATTATTCACCAAAAACAAAGACGAACATTGTGTATATAAGAATTTAGTAGGAGCCTACTAGTCATGGTTATTCAACATGAAAAATTAAACAAAATACTCCTTGGCTATCATATTATTGTGTTGTAAACTATAAAAGATTAAGATATCTAAAAGCAATTTTTCAAGTATAACATGGGAGAGCAACCAACAATCTAAGAGTGTCACTTGGAATGTAAGGGGTCTTCAAGGTAGATATAATGATACGATACTAAAAGGTTTAGTATAAAAAAATTTAAAAAAAAGATTTATTTGAATATCATATAGTTTGATGGTTGATAATAAAGGATCCATAGCGCAAGCTAAAGAACCAAGGTCTCATCAATGATCTAAGCATGTACTCGCATCACTACCACTTGATTATAAAGATAAACAATCATGGTAACGTAAGGATAGAAAAGGTCTACACTAATGGTAACATAGCTGACCCCTTGACTAAAACATTTGTAATAGCTGAAACAGAAGACCCTTACTCGATCGTCGAGATTGAGGGACATGGCTGGTTGGCTTTAGTGCAAGTGAGAGATTGTTATGGTAGGTACCAAAGATCTAACCACATTGGAATGATCTTGGGTTATTGTATTATTGCATCATTTATTTTAATAATAATAAAAAATTCTTTTTATTAATTCTTATGCTTTTATGTTTATTAATTTAGTAGAATTAGTTAGAAGTCCTTATGGTATGCATTTGCAATAGTGATTGATCGAAAGATATGAGACAAACATTAATGCATATAAATGATATCATTAAATATCCCAAGTTATAACATTGTTAAGAATGGACGTTGACTATATGTGAATAGACTTGTGAGTGTTATGCTCTTGCTATATGATAGCAGTAGGAGATCTCATACGTATTAACATAGTGATGCTAAAGCAAGTACTTAGGTGATTTATATTAGAGAACATATCACTAGACTTGACTCATCATAAGAGCCCATTTGATTTAGTCTATGGAAATCGATATGAGATATGTACAATTGGTCCTTAAACTTAAGTCATTATGGTTATCTCATTAGAAGATTTATGCACTTTGACATTCGTTTCGATAGACCTAATAAAGGGTTGCACATGGGTAATTCATTAGGTACACTAGGATCTAATGGAGGTAGGTGTATGACTAAGATAGAACATATCATTTCTTATATGCTAAATGAGTTATCACATTGCTTCGATGAATGTCTACTCAAGAAATCTATGGCCATAGTAGGAGTACACCAATAAAGCATAGTTGGTTTACTTAAGAGCTAAGACATTTGGAAATCGAAGAAAATTTATATGATCATAATCGAACAAGACTTATAACCAAGTTTGAGATCACACCGTGATCGATTGACATGATGACTCGAATTGTATAGTAACCATAATCGTGAAATGTAATAATGGATTAATTAATTCTCCTAGAGAATTGAGTGCTCATGATGCCTTACTAGAGATCAATATTGATTTATGTATTAGGACATAAAAGAGGAGTCTTTTGTTCTTGATACATTGCCAACATATCTAGGAGTCTATTGAGTCACATGTGTAAGTTTAAGTATTCACATGATTACAAAGAAGCAAAGACATTTTGAAAAGTTTTCAATTTTGAAAATTTTATATTTTGGAAAAGATTTCCAAAAATGAAAAGTTTCCTAAAAATAGAAAGTTTTCTATTTTAGAAATCAATTTCCTAATTTGGAAGTTAATTCTAAATTTGGAAGTAAATAACCTAAAATGGAAACGAGTTTTCTAATTTAAGTTAAAGGGCATTTTAAAAAATTATTTCCTAATGTGGGTCGCCTAAAATTATCTAAGATTATTTATTTGGATAGTTCAAATAAATTAATTGGAGCAAAATGGTTTTAGCCGAGGTTTAATTAAAAGCTTTAAGATATTTTTGTGGGAGGATAAACATCAATTCTATTGGATAAGGATGAATGTTTTAAAGATAAAGATCAAAAGCCCACGTGTAAAATAACTCCTAATCCTTAACCATAAGTCCAATTAGGACTTATTTGCTCCCACTCTCCTTGTCCTTGGAGGACAACAAAACTCTCACCCTATACATAGGAGGAGAGGTATGGCATAAAGAGAGAGTTTTGGGAGAAAGAAAATTCGACACACTAAGAAAATTAAAAAGGACACACGACCGAAATAAAATAAGGAGAAAATTATTTTCTTCCTCGCCCTAGCACACCATCCCTTCTCTCTTCTCTTTGGGTTGTCACAAACTTGCTCGGATTAGATTTATATAGGAAACACTACATAAATCGGAAAAGATGGAGCTAGCACTTTATCAATTTTGAGTGCTTCTTTATAGGTGTTTGGACCTGCATGGATCATCAATAGAGGTTAGACACTTAGATCGTTTTTATTTTTGCTAAAGAATTTAGAATTGCTCAACAAGAGATAATTCTCTATTCATTGCTTTAATTCGTGTATATATAGTTCGTTAATTCAACAAGCATGATCTTGAGCCTTTTAGATGGAGGAATTTTTTTTTTATTTCACACCTCCATATGATGCATGATCCTTCATCTATTTGGAATGACGTGCCGTAACACATTGACTTGTGGGACAAGATAGAGCACATCAATTTGAAGAGACGTGACGGACCATGTCGACTTGGAAGAGACATGACGGACCACGTCTATTTAAAATAACGTGACGGACCACGTTGACTTTATGAGACGTGACAAAGCACATCAATTTGAAAGGATATGACGGACCATGTTGACTTAAAAGGACATGACAAATCACGTCTATTTGGAACGACATAACGTACTACCTTGACTTTGTGGAACATGATAGAACATGCTAGTTTGGAGGGATGAAATCATAATTTGTACCCAAACGTAAGATTTTGGTAAAAAAAAAAAAAATAGAAATAAGCCTTGCCATCTTCCCAAAAGTATGAAATTGCAATTTGGATACAAACATAAATTTTTGTTTGAAAATTAAAAATAAGCCTCGCCATCCTTCCAAAAGCACAAATTCACAATTTGGACACGGACATAAGATTTTGTTCCTAAAATTGGAATAAGGTTCTCTATCCTCCTAAAAGAACAAAATCGGGATTTGAACACAAATGTAGCATTTTCATCCAAAAATTAGAAATAAGCCTCGTCATCCTCCCACAAACACAAATATAGGATGTTCTTCTAAAAATTGAAAATAAACCTTGTCATCCTCCCAAAAGTGCCAAATCACAATTTGGACACAATCGTAGGAATTTGGCATAAAAATTACAAATAAGCCTACGCAATCCTCCCAAAGGCAAGAAACCATAATTTGAAGAGAAACCTACTCCAAGAATTGGAAGTAAGCCTCCCCGTCCACCCAATATGAAAAATTATAATTTGTATACAAATGCAAGATTTTTCATTCAAAAAATCAAAATTATTTGATTTTTTGCTTTTGAATTGTGTAGCATTTTGAATTTTTCACAAAATTAAAAAATAAAATATTATGTTAATATATTTTATTTTATCTATATTAGTTGAAATATATTATATTCAAGTAATATAATAAATATAATAAGTATAAATTTTTTATAAAAATCAAATTATAAATCAGAGAGAGTTCAAATTTTGATCCAAATCATTAGAATTTAAATTTTAAATTTATATTTTTAAAATTCAATCCCAATTCTTAAGGTTCAATCTGAATTGAATATACTATTACGTGATCCGAATCTGATTTATTTATTTATTGACAATTCTGGTCCTATTTTCAGATCTTTTTTATGCCGTGTTTGATTAGGTCCATAAAACGCTTTGTATGCATAAAAACGGTGAGCATAGTTGGCGTAAAATTCTTTTGTGGTCCCCATCAAAACCAATCACAGCCTTGGTGTGTTCTCCTGTAAAATTGCCACGTCAATGTCAAATACGATGCGGCGACACACTTTACATCCACGTGTGCATTGTTCAGGAAGTGAAAGCACGCCCAGACATACCGGGAGTTAATTGAAAACTTGGAGGGCATTTTGAGATTTGCTCGAAATAATTTCTTCAAAATTTAAAGACGCAGATTTTTGAGATTTGAAAAACTACAAGGATTAAGTTATAATTAGCTCTATGCGTCGCATTTAATAGTGAAGTCTCGTGTCATGTTTTTCATCCAAAATACCTTCTATATTGTTTTATATTTTCCATTCATATATATATATATGTCTTATTGAATTTAACTGTTGCATTTAAATTTTATTTAAAAGAATCAAATATTATAACAAATGTTTTATTTTTTAATTATTTATATTATTGTGTATTCGAGTGTATCTGAAGTCGGATTATTTCCCAACAAATCATAATTATTTTGTTAATGATATACAGAAATATATATATGTACTTATTCCCATTTATTCTAATAATTTTTATTGTGAATAATAAATATTAAAAATAATACCAGCGAGTGGAATTTTGGCAAAATTAAAGATTATTTATAAAATTAAAATATTTACAAAATATTAACAAACGTTGAATTTATTAGTGGCAAAAATAATTGCAGATTGATGAAGATAAAAACTCTTTAAAAATATTCCAAAGTATCAAAAATAATTTTTCATTAATTATAAACTCCAGTATGATGGATAATGCGGGGCTGAATATTGTATTGGATACCAACTCCAACTTGATGCAGTTACATAAGGAATTTTGAATGCTTTATCAAAAAAGATTCAGCAAGATTTAATTAAAAAGAAAAACAAAATCTAGTAAGGCGCGTGGCATGGGGAGCCATGAAATTTTGATATAGTAATTAACTGGCCAGCACTTGACACGAAGAGTTTGGTATTTGCGAAGCAGAGATATCATTTTATACATACCTCTCTGTCTCTACACGCACTATTTATTGTCATTAATGAAAAATCAGAATCTCTCTCTCTCTCTCTCTCTCTCTCTGGTCGAAGGCGAGACAAAAACTTGGAACTAAAAGTTAAAGCAAACACAGTTTCAATGTGGACAATGGGGATGCTTCAACTCTAATTTGTCAAATTTAGAAACTCAATTCAAACCCGAATCAAAGCTCATTCATTGAATTAGGATGTTTCAACTCCTATAAAATATTCTACCAAGTACATGCGACAGAGGATTTTGTTATAAGTCGTCATCAGTTTGAAGCACACATTTTCACAAGATTACGGGTAGGCCACCATCAAGTGTCCCAATTCCCAACTCCCATCAAGAGTAATTAATAGTTATCAAAGAGCTTACAGTGCACTTGTATTTTTACAAATTAAAAGGGTTCGACCTCACTTAATTTCTCAATCTATCGCGAATCTTAAAAGAAAACCACCAACTAGGATTATATGGATTTGCCTTCTCTTTTTCCCCTCCTTTTATAGCTCAATTACTACACTGATGCAGCTGCTAATTCGAGCAATGTGATTAGTCGAGCCCACTATCACCTATGGAAAAATGGGACAGGAAGGGTTTGTGGGGGTATAGTGTTGCATGCACTCCCAAACTTTACTTATGTCACAGGGCCAATGCAATGGATAATGACTTATTGAAATTCGAAATCTTTGCGTTCTTTTTGGGAGGCAAAAGAAAAGTTGATGAGGAGCTCTTAATCCACAATAGGGAATTTGGTCAATCAGGTCAACACTAGGGATTTAGAGAGCGGGGAAAAACAGATTGTAACATAATAATTTCGATCGTTACTTTGCAGCTTGTAAGGCAACAGTATTCAATATTTTAGAGGTGCATGTGGCATATGTTATCATTATTATGTCCAATAATTTCTTTTACCATAAACATAATAATTTGCTTCGTGAAAAATACTGCCATTCCAAAGCAGGAAGGTGCTCAGAAGCCTCTGTGGTGCTAACGAGTGATAGTTTTAAGAGTACAAATGGTGCTTAGTCATAACGTGTCAATTCTCTCTACACCATTCGACAGACATCTACAAATATACAATCCTAAATGATAGATTCAATTTTTATTTATTTATTTATTTATTAACTCTCTACACCGGTCGTCGGGTCTCAAACAGGCATCTACAATACTAAATGATAGATTCAATTTTTATTCTTTCTAAAAAAAAACATAACTCTGCTACACGCCTCTTAAATTCGATTTCAAAACGTTGGCTATAGACTGCGCGTCTGACCATCGTCCATTGCGGCCGATATAAGCTATAGAATTTACTGGACTAATATTTATGTTAAAGAGATGGACTTAAAGGCGCCTACCTTCTTTTTAAGGCCCTTATGCGTTGCGCGTGCCCAGAAAGCACAGCGGCTTCTCAACACGATCAAGTCACCAATTCCTCACATTAAAAGATCTTGCAAACGTGAAAAGTGCAAACTTTACAGAGAAAAATGCAAGTACTGTTTTACACCTCTTGTCAGCAAAGGATAGGAAGATTTGAGTTTGACAATGGAAGGAAGAATGTCGAAAGGCAAAGATATGGACTCACATGAACTCAATCTAAACAAGATAATGAATACACATTTTACGTACAAAGTCACTGCAATGCTTCTAGAGTCACGAAGTTTGCGGTAGTATAGCATGTACCTCTGCAGAAAAACATATAATCAATTACAGTTAAGAACGCTTCAAATTTCATTTACAAATTACAACTTCTTTGCCTACGTCCAATGTAGCCTCATTTAAGACAGATACTTCAATCATATACAAGCAACAATTGAAAGAGATAAATACAGGGAATATGGGATGAAAAAACAGTAGTAAGAAAGTGGCTCTATACTAAGAAGTTAGATGTCTGTCCCCCGTTCCACGCTGTCTGCAGCTGCTGTATGGTGATCAATGCTAGCGTGCAATAACAACTATGGATGAAGTTGTCAATAAAATAGAACTTCATCACACCCAAGTCACACTTAAGTTCGTGATCCTAAAAGGCTGGTATGTGGAAGATTTTTTTTTGCTGACTCAGACTAGAACAGAAGCTATGCCAGTAGTGGCTCATCTTGCATCACCTTGAGCTGCCTTTTTGCATACACCGTGATGATAATCGTGGCAACCACTGTGGCACAAAAACCAAACACTGTGAAGACAATTTGAGGAGCTGAGAGGGTGTGCCCATCATTTGAAGCATCTGCCAAGGTCCGTATGACAATCCCACTGCAAAAAACAAAGAATTAAGGTTCAGGAATGCTTTAAGAAGCTCTATGCCTGCATGACAAGAATCACACATTTAGAAAAAAGCAGGAGCCAAGTTTGAAAGAACATCTGGCTTAATAACCCAGCTGCTATTGACACCACCATGGAGTAGTACACCAGGCTACCCCAGCATGGTTATGACCTATCATTGACAAATACCAACCTCTCAAAGTTCAGAAAAAGTGTGAAGGGAAAATAATGAGAGCCAAACTCATGTGATTCTCACTTGTTTGCCCCAAGGTATCGAATTCCATGGTTTAGCCACTACCATGCTACAGTTATCACCCCTGCTAGAGCCCCCATTAAAGGTCAAAACCTAGGACACACAAAACACAGCCCATCCAGTGTGAAGCAGACCTCTTCTAAGGGGCAAAGAAAATGCCTTTCCAAAAAAATGGTAGCTGCAAAGGAAATCCATTGATTTTCTTTCTAGAACAGTTAGGAGCTGAACATTGAAGAAGAGGCAGAGGTGGAGTAAGAGGAGCTGAAGATGAAAAACAGACATTTCGGGGATTGTGATTAAGCCTCACTGGGCCAACAGATCAGGTTATTTTTGGTAATTATTAAAATCATTATGATGCACAAACTAACCAAGTGAGAGCAAGGGAGTGGCTGTGTAAGAGCTCCTTTCAGACACAAATTACAAAAGGTTTTGATTGTAAGAACTTAAAATGAGTGCAAATAATTACAGATTTTCCAGTGCAGATAGGGCATGCCCATCCCATTCTTCCGATGTCTAAGTGTAACTTAAGTTATAATGTTTCACATCTTTCCCTTTTCAAGGTATAGACTCGAACCCAAGACTCTTCACTCTCTTGTTATCACATAACTAATGGCTGAAGCCTTGTATTTAGACCTACAATTGTATTTGTAATTCATCTATGAAATTATTTTCTCAAGAATAATGCTGTTGGGGAAGGCAGAAGTCAAAACAAATAGATAACAAAAGGGATATTATCTTTCTAAAACAAAAAATCACATTACTTCATTCATATCTATTTCTACCAAGAAAAAATCATATGCATCTGTCCCGAGTTCTGTAAGTTACTGTGATCACTATTAGAAAAAGAAAAAAAAAATTGTGTTTCACCTGAAAATTCAATGGTAATCAGTTGCTCTAAAAATTGAAAAGGGAAATAAACAAGAACTGCGCTAAAAAAAAATTGACAAGTTACACTAACGTCAGAGTATGTGAAAAATTCAATGTGCATACAATGCATAAATGTAAGATTCTAAAATTGGAAGCATATGCATGGAAGCATGCTGAGTCCACAAACATGAAATTCTTTATGCAAAAGAGGAAGGAGGGAGGGAGAGTTCTTACGTATAGATCGCAACAAATATCTCTGGTACCATTCCTGCCAGCGATCCCAAGAAGTAAGGACCATACTTAACGTTTGTTGCAACAGCACAATAATTATACAGAATATACGGAAATGGAGAAATCCTGATCAGAGTCACAGCTCGAAACTGATGAAACCAGTTTCCTTCACCAGCTGCTCTCAAAATAGCAGCTCTCTTTGGATATTTTTCTAACCACCCCTGTGTCAAGTAATTTAGAATTATATTAATCACATAGAAAGGGAAAAAAAACTACAATTAAACATGAACAAATCTTGGCACAAGGTTCATACTTGAATTTTATGAAGGAACAAAGAGCCAATGAAATATGGAAGTGACACACCCACAGCCGCTGCAGTTATTATTAATAGAAATCCAAACCCATAACCAAATGTCATCCCAGCCACCCACATGGAAGGAGACGACGGTAGAAGTAGAGTTGGGAACAATGCCACAGAGGCAAAGAGCAGAACTGCCAGTACCGGAGTGCTAAATGTCGTTGTCTCCCAATTTATGATAGGGATAATCTCCTGAAAAAATTCATCAGTCAGGTAGGGAACAAATTGAAATATGTACGAATATCCCATAAATATCCAATAACCACAATGAACTTCTTGCAACTTCTGCTGGGATAGAGTATTAATATCATATCCTATGGTGAGTTTCTAGCGGGATTGTTTAGGAAGAGAATACTGCAGAGCACCCACTTAGAATCCAATTAGAGGAAACGAGGCATCAGAAAAGGAACATCTATAAGATTAGGAACAGTAGATCATGTTCTAAAGCAATATTGCTTCCATGCTCAAAAAGAAGTACCTAACAATAAGAAAATCAAATGCATGGAACACTTCATAAGACTAAGACTTGAAAACAAGATTAATCAACCCGAGCATATATATATATATATATATATATATATAGAGAGAGAGAGAGAGAGAGAGAGAGAGAGACTTGTGATATAATGTTATAAACAGTTAAACACAACAGTGTACAAGACAATCTATCTAACCAAATATGTTTGAGGGAAAACAAAAACCCATATCTCAAAGAATAAAACAATCCAATAAAATTCATATCTCAAATCCATTCACTGAATTTTGTGGGGGCAAAAAACCACAACAAAACCTCCAATTGCATGGCAATGTAATGGAACCCAGAATGAAAAACACATTAAATTACAAATCCCACAAACATATATAAAAACTCACAAGCAAAACCTGCCAATTAATGAAAAAAAAAAAAACCAGTAAAGCGGCAGAAACATGTATTGGAATCATCGATTCACAAGCAATAAACCCAAACCAAATATATACATCAGCAAAACTACAAAAACATAAAATTCAGATACAAAAGCAACCTTGCCCGTGAAAAATTACCAACCCATTTAAGAAAAAGCACCAGTACATGACCCTAAGGCAAGCCAATTCCAATCCACTAAAACCCCATAACAGAAAAACACAACTTTGAACAGAAACAACACATAAACACAATTAAACCCACAAAAGCATAAAACTTCCTGATCAAAACTAACCTTATCCATCACGAAGGGGCCAACCCACATGAAACAAGCAGCAGCCATTAACCCAAAAAATGTAAGCACCAAAGCCAACTTAACCCAATACCAGAACACAGACCCTCCAAACCCCCAACAACAACCATAACGATTGCACCTTTTACCTACCCCATTCTCATCTCTCAAATTCACATAATTCCCTTTGCTATTATCTCCATCATCATCAATTTTATCACCGCCCATGCTCATTCTTAGCTCTGGCACCACACTATCATCCTCATAATAAGTCATTGAATCAGAAACCCTAAAAACGGATCAAGTTTGTAACTTTCTGTCTGGTTTCTGAGAAGAATGGACAGATAGAGAGAGATTTTCAGGTGGTGATGATGATCATGATGGAAAACAAAGGAGAGTTTGTCACTGAAGAATAATCAGGTAATAATCAATTAAGCATTTAAAAGGGAAAAGCACAGAAAGGATACAAACACTGGTTTTGAGCTTTTTGAGGGACCCTTTAATTTTTCTAGCATTTAGTGACTTCAACCTTTCCGTTAGGCTAAGAATCACGCTCAATTACCTATACTTTGCATGTTGATCAAATCACACCCTTTAGTTTCAATTATGTCAAATCAACCTCTATATTTCCTATTAAGGACCACTTGAGATTCTCTATTCAATTATCTCACAAGAAATATGGAATTAATATAGAATTTTAGTAGTAATGTCCTAATGGAGCTGCATGGAATAAATTAAATCACCTTTAATTGAAATTTCAGGGCTTATTTAATTCAATTAAAAGTAAGGGATTCATTTGATGAAGTATTAAATGTAGAGGAGCCGTACATGATTGTTAGCCTTTTCCCATTATTGTTAACTTTTGTCGTTACAGTTTTGGCTTTTTTCAGTGTCTGAATTTTTCAATTTTTTGTATGAAATTACAATCCAGCCATTGACACGTTGTCGTTTTGAGGCTGTGTTTGTTACTGTTAAAGGTTTTCTCAATGTGGTAGTGTAAGACCTGGCAAGATGACTTTTTTCACGAACCAATACAATTTTAAATCTTAATTTCTTAACTGAAGTATTTTTAAATTTAATTTTTAAATAACGATATTTTTTACTTATTTATATAATTTTTTTAATTATTGAAAAATAATTTCATTACATTAAATAATTTTATTTTTATTTTAAGTATTTTATTAATTTAAAAAGATAAAAGTGCTAAGAACTCGCTTCTTAAAAGAAAAAAATAATAATAAAAATGCCAGAGAGAGAACGCTGTCCTTGTGGGCATCCATTAAGGTATGTGGCGCAAAGTGAGTGGATTTGTTGCTGGCGTATACTGTGTGTGTATTTTCTTTTTTGTTTGTCATGACATCCCCAATCAAGAGAAGTCCTGTTAGCAATTTTGAGCTTTTTCCCAGAACATGGTATTTTTGAAACTTATTTCTCTAATATTTTTAAACTTAATGCTTTAAATATTGGACACATAAGCATAAAATTAAAAATAATTAATATGATGTGGAATTTGTTTTCCTTTTTAGGCTACATATTTTTAATTAATATTGCCATCATATTTCTACGTATTTCCAAAACCCTCTCCTTCCTTTTCTCGTCTCTTCTATTTAAAATTCTTCTCCCTCGTCGGATTTTGTTTTCTTCTTTAGATCTTGTTAAATCTCATTTCTTTCCTTTTCCCCTTAAAATTCTCCTATTTAGTCTTTCTATCCTTTCTCTCTTCGCCTATTCTTTCATTTTCGTTCTTTTATTCCCTTTCATTATGTATCTTGTTATCATTTTTCTCCCTTTTCTTAAGATCTTAGCTTCAAATCTAGACTTCGTTAAGGCATGAATGTGTTTTAACAATTTTTTTTTTCTTTTTGGGAAATTTGAAGCAATTTCTGAAAATTATAGTAGTTTTTCAAAAGTGCTTTAATTTTTCAAAAATTGAAGCAATTTTCTAGAAATTGAAGCAATTTTTCAAAATTGCTTCAATTTTTCAGCAATTAATGTAATTTTCTACAGTTGCCCAATGCTTTCAAATATGCTCGTCATGTGACTCATGTCTATAGTATACTTCAATAACCAATTATGTATATTAATTATTTTTGCAATAAGAAACAATTATGTTTATTAACTTATTGACAAAGGTGACAAGATTCATAATTAAGCTAATTAAGATAATAAAATAGATTATTTTAAAAAGGCAAATAGAAATTAAGGTTATGCACTTATGCTCGTTCTCAATTGATTGTATATGCGAGTTTTGAGATTTGAGGTTTAATGTGACATTGGACTCTTTTATTTATTTTTTAACATTGCTTAAAAAATTGGATTTAAAGGGTTTAAAACTAAAGTAAATTATAAATTAGTCCCTTTAGTTTCAAGAAATAAATTTATTAGTCTTTTTGGTTTTAAAAAAGTATTATTTAGTTTTTTAATCGGATCTTGATTAATATTAATATTATTTTTACTCCACAAAATCCCTTATTTTTTCATCAATCTTTTCATATTATTTTTATTCCACAAACTCTCTTAATTTTTCTATTTTTTAAAACAAAAGATCAAAATAAATTAAATCAAAATAAAAAATTAAATTATAAGTCAATTTTAAAACAAGAGAATTAAATAATTAGTTTTTGAAATGAGATGAACTAATTAATTCATTTATTGAAACAAGAGGGACTAATTTATAGTTTGCTCTTTAAGACTAAAATATCTTTTTGAGATTTAAGAAAATTGAAAATAAGGTAAGTATATGGGATCAAGCATAAGCACTTTTTCTATATATAAAAAAAAAAAATTAAAATTTATTGTAGCCTCAAACCAATTTTTGTGTAATTTTAGATCTATTTTCAAGTAATAAAAATATGTCTCTTTCTAATTAAATTTTAAATAGTTAATTTACATACGAAATAGTACATCCTTGAGAAATCTTTTCTCATGATTTTTCTTATATCTAAACTTGAGATAATAATATGAAAAATAAATTTATTTGGCACCCAAGACAATCGAAGATTACTAATTAACCCTTTAATTACATTATCTATTACAAATTGGGAATTGACTCTTCGGCTTTTTAGTTGTCAATGACATTAATTAAGCGAGACAATGTTAGTTGATTAAAGATGTCATAACCTAAAAAAAATCGATCCGTTTTGTTTTCTTTTTTTCTTAGTTATTTGTTTTGTTTTGTTTTGTTTTATTTCCTTTTTACTTTATTTTAGTAATTTACCACAAAAAGAAAAAGAAAAAAAAAGGATTAAAATATAAAATACAAAAAAATAATAAAAAAAATTACATAGCACAATGAATTAAGGACACAATTGAATGAAATTGGAGAGTGCAATTGTAAGAAATTTTGAAAGTTCCAAGATTGTTCCGCCAAATTACCAAAACCAATATTTTGAGACAAGCGAATGTCATCGTCCACTATCTATATTGTTTTGAAGGCAAAAACAATTTTGGCTCCTCCTAGTTTTCCCACGATTTTGTCCCAACCAACTCATCCGTCCTTATCCTCTACTTAGGTCGCAAGATGTGCTGCAAATAGAACAAAAAAAAGAAAGGCGTGAAGGTAAGAAAAAACAACAAGAAGTGAGTAGTTCTCACTAGTACCGAAGCAATCACATGGCCAAAAATGCAAGAGAGAAATGCGGGGTCCCGATTTTTAGCATGAAAACATTGATAAAAACGGACTCGTGAGGTTTTGAGAAAGGGATGGGGTTGAGAGAAAAAGAAAACCAAGAACAAGGTGTGGAAATCAAGAGATTTTAGCATTTTTTTAGTTTCTAGGTTTTTTTGGGTGTCTAAGCACTCGTTCTTCATTTTTTGGGCAAGTGTTCTTCATCTATTGGGTTCTTCAACTCGGTTTTTCTTGGTTTTTCTAGACTTCGTGTTGAATTTCCTAGGTTCTTCAATTCAATTCTTTGATTTTATAGGTTTCCTTGCATTTTCTAGGTTTTTACAATTAGGCATTATGGGCGGTGTTCTTCATTTGTTTGGGTTTCTCCTTGTTTCAAATACTTCAAATTTTAGTCAATCACAAGCCAATAACAATAGCGATAGGATCTCCATATCCGCCAACCCATCCTCTCCATTTTGTTCAAGTATTTTTAAACTCATCCCTTACCCATTTTCATTTCTTTTATACTAGGTTTTATCGAATTTAAATTACTAGAGATAAACATGACAATGACAATATCACTGCTATGTTGAGCCTTTAATCGCTCAATCTTATTAGCTAATCAACAATGAACAAAAAGAGAGGAAGCCGGGTTATAGGAAGATTAAAGAGAAGAAGCCGATTATAGCAAGATTATAGGAATGATTAATGCTTATGGTTAGGATTTTTGAGCAAAAAGGAAGAAATAAGTTTTTTGTTATTAAGAATAGAGGTGATGATTCGGTTTTTCGATTTGATTTTTTTTTTTTTTTGGTTAACTAAATCTATTAAAAAAAACAAAATCGAATCGAATCGAATTGTAATTCGGTTATTCGATTAAAAAAAAAATTTTGGTTTGATTTTTTTTATTAAAACCGGTTTTTTTTTTTTTTCAAAACCAAACAAACCTTTGTTCTTAGCTACTCGTATTACGAGTAACCTTCCTATTATCTTCTTTTATGGCGGACCCATTAGATGGTCCATTCCCATCTGGTTTGCCTAAGTAGGTAAATCCTTTTGTTCTTAGCTTCTCTAGCATTACCTACTCGTATTAATAGTAACTTTTGTCACTAGAATCCAAACTTCTTTGCCATGTCCCCCACTCGCTTTTATTTTCAATTCTTTTATTTTTACTACTCATCTTTTCAATGTTAACTAACGGAGATTGTGTATGGAGATTATGTTTCTTACAAATCTATATCCTATGTCCAATTAAGACATAACCTTTACAATACTACAAATTAACTTCATATTCTATTATTTGCTAGAAACCATGTTCCTTAAAACTACCAACCCATATCCTAGTAAGAAAAGTTTTTGATATGTCCACTTCAATAAACAAAGTAACAAATAATCAATTTACTTTCATATACCATTCAAAATTCTACTTGTCCCAATAAGTCATTAGTATTCCACAAGTAACAAAATTTAAAAACATCACAAAATAATAAGGCTACAAAAACAAAGCAAGACAAGTGCCCATCCGTGTATTCTTATCTCTCAAGCTAATCAAGTTGCTTCAACATGAAAACCGAAATGCCTTTACTTCCTAATTTCTTCTATAACAAGTCGACATTAAAATCATTATTCAAATTACTTTTCCATTAATTTTCTAAACATAGATTTCAAG